AGAGAGAGAGAGAGAGAGAGAGAGAGAGAGAGAGAGAGAGAGAGAGAGAGAGAGAGAGAGAGAGAGAGAGAGAGAGAGAGAGAGAGGAGAGAGAGAGAGAGAGAGAGAGAGAGAAGAGCGAGAGAGAGGAGAGAGAGGAGAGAGAGAGAGAGAGAGGAGAGAGAGAGAGAGAGAGGAGAGGAGAGGAGAGAGAGGAGAGAGGAGAAGAGAGAGGAAGAGGGAAAGAAGGGAGGAGAGGATGAGAGAGAGAGGAAGAGGAGAAGAGAAAGAGGGAAGAGAGAGAGAGAGAGAGAAGAGAGAGAGAGAGAAGAGAGAGAGAGAGAGGAGAGAGAGAGGAAGAAGAGAGAGAGAGAGAGAGAGAGAGGAAGAGAGAAGAGAGGAAGAGAAGGAAGGTGGGGGAATGGGAGGGAATGGGAGGGAAGAAAGGAGGGAGGAAGAGATGAAGGAAGGAAGGAGAGTGAGGGAGGGAAGGAGGTGAGGGAGGGAAGGAGGTGAGGGAGAAGGAGGTGAGGGAGGGAAGGAGTGAGGAGGGAAGGAGGTGAGGGAGGGAAGGAGGTGAGGGAGGGAAGGAGGTGAGGGGGGAAGGAGGTGAGGGAGGGAAGGAGGTGAGGGGAAGGAGGTGAGGGAGGGAAGGAGGTGAGGGAGGGAAGGAGGTGAGGGAGGGAAGGAGGTGAGGGAGGGAAGGAGGTGAGGGAGGAAAAGGAAGGAAAAAGGAAAGGAAGGAAAGGAAAGGAAGGAAAGGAAGGAAAGGAAGGAAAGGAAGGAAAGGAAGGAAAGGAAGGAAAGGAAGGAAGGAAGGAAAGAGGAAAGGAAAGGAAAGGAAGGAAAGGAAGGAAAGAAGGAAGGAAGGAAGGGGAAGGAAGGAAGGAAGGAAGGAAGGAAGAAGGAAGGAAGGAAGGAAGAAGGAAGGAGAAAAGGAAGGAAGAAGGAAGGAAGGGAGGAAGGAAGGAAGGAAGGAAGGAAGGGAAAGAGGGAGGGAGGAAAGGAAGTGTGAGTGAGTGAGTTAGTGAGTTAGATAGTTAGTTAGGTAGAGAGAGAGAGTATGTCTTAAATGTTAGTTCAGAGTAGATGCAGGGATTTCTTTTCTGTGGCGTCTGTGATGTAACAAATAACAATATCAAATTAAAAGTTTTTAGGCTTTGTCTTTGATGTGGAATTTTCTTTAATCAGTTCAGATTTTTTTGATAAACTACAAATGAGATTTCAGCTTGTAGTAACAAGATTTGCAACAAGTTAGGAACAAGATTTCTACACAATACAAGCTGTATAGAGTCAATATAATTTTTGTATGAACAAGAGAGATAATTAAGACCTCTTATTCGCAGGTGGTGTCAGAGGTGATGGTGTTAACTGGACGAAGAAGGGGCAACCATTATTCATTTTCTTTGGTGAGTTTTTTTTCACATGTCTCACTTACAGCTATTGTAATAACTGATACTACTGTCATGATTTAGGTTCTTGATGTTGAGGTAGACTTAACTTTTTACAATTTTACACTGAAAAGAAATGTTGGTGATGATTTTAGTTTATATCTTGATTTTTAAAATTATTTCTTAGCTCATTTGGAATAGTTTTTTTTTTATCTTTTCTTATCAGTATCTATAATAGATATTTCCAGGTATGTTTTATGCATATCTTAGGAGTATGTCAGAAATAAAGTTTGTAAGGTTTTTGTGAATTAGGTATGACACATCTAATTTTCTAACACATTTTACAGATTATGGTTGGTACATTTCAAGAAAAGATGGAGCCGTAAGCTGTGAGAGATGCTGAGGACTGTATCTCCTGCATGCATCCCATGGGTGTGATCACATGCACGGTCCCCATGAACCCTTCCGGCGATGTCATTTACACACACAAGAAGTTCAAGCGGGCCACATCTGAGGCCTGTGACAATGCAGAACAGCAGCAGCAAAACGAAAGGGGTAAAAAGGGTGGGACAGAGGTTGCCTCAGCAGGTGCCAGGACCCCCTCTACCACATCTCAAGCCTCTGCAGCAGGTGCCAGGCCCACCACTACAGCACCTCAGTTTACCCCAACACTTGTCAATGGACACGTTACAGCTCAGACAGTTGCTAGTGTAACTGGAAGTGTTGTTAATCAATTATCAGTAGAGAATGATGATAACAAAAGAAAAGTCAGTAATAGTAGTGGTGGAAAGTACAAATGTGAATATTGTGGAGTTGGATGTGCCAAACCTTCTGTGCTTGATAAGCACAAACGCACACACACCAATGAGAGACCATATACCTGTGAACAGTGTAGTCTTGCTTTCAAGACTAAAAGCAATTATAAGAAGCACACTAGATCTCGAACCCATGTTCGGAAATGTGATGGTGTAGCTCTTGATAATAGTGATGGAACTATAGAGTCTAGTGATAATGTTGATGGTGATGTAGAAGATGGCCCTAAGTCAGCTAATAAAGAGGGTAGAGCTCAGCAGCTACAACCAGCTGATTTCTCTGTATCAAGAACCTCTATAAGGGACCAGCTCCAAGACCTTCCAACTGCTTCTGTGAGTACCCATCATGATGAGTTGGGAACTCTTGATCGAAGCAAATCTTTGTACAAGCCAAAATTTCATATTTCTGCTCATTATGCACACAGGGAGGAAAGAGGCCCTAAGGGCCAGACACCTCCACCATCAAGACAACAGCCAACTCCACCTCAGGATGCTCCTCAACTTGACCATACTGCTATCAGTTCTTCAACATATCAACCCCATACTGCCTCCACCCATGGTCAACCCAACCAGGTTGCGCCCTCTAACCCTAGTCGTCACTCTCCAAGTCCAGCCACTGTCTCAAAGCAAGGCCTACCGCCACTCGATATATGGGCTGCAAATAAAAAGGATGAAGGTGTACTGACTGGTCAAAGGAATTCAGTACAGACACCACAAAGTGCAAATTCTCTTTGGAAAGGAATTAAGTCTCCAAGCCCAGAATTAGTTGGGCAACACATCACTAAGTTGATTGTAGAAAACCAGGCCATTGTGGATACTCACAATCCACTGTGGTCTAGACGCTATAGAAGGCAGCCTAGTATAGGCTCATCATCAAGTGAGAGTGATGGCTCAGGCACAAGCAAAAGCCGCCGTTCTAGTCTTGCTGATTTGACTATTAAGAATTCCAAGGCACCAGCTGTTGGCTCTTCATCAACAGCTCCTTCTCCTGCTGGTCTAGGCCCACTACAACAACAATATTCAAGAGAGAGAAGTCATTCCGTCACTGCTGAGGCAATGATGGCTGAGTCAAGGTCTTATAGCCCCAGTCTTCCACCCACCCCACACCTGCCTCTTGCTCAGCCTCCAGTCACCCCCATCAGTGCTTCCAAACCTTCCATATCATCACAAGGACATACTACCTCTTACTCTCAGTCTGCTCCAGCCTTCACTACCTCTACAATGGGCATGATGGACCTAACCATGGTGGAGGGATCACGCAAGAGGAGGAGCTCTGAGGGCCCTTCTGTGGTTAGAGATATACACAAGAGTCGGGTGACTCATGTGGATGATCCAGCTATTTTGCGTCAGCATCCACAGAATCCTGAAGGTTCAGTTATAAAAAGTCTTCTCTTGCACTCTAGAGCTACCATTGCAGGTACTATTGATCAGAAACTGGAGAGGCTGGAATGTGAAAGGCTAAACCAGCCAACAGAAGGACATTACCCATGCTCCAGATGTGGCATACCCTGCCGCAGTCCAGAGAGTTTGGAGGTTCACCTTCGACATTATTGCGGACAGCGACTTGGGGGGACTGGAAGTGAGAGGGGCACACCAGATTCTGTTAAGAGTGGAGATGGGGGAAGATGGCCCAGTGAACAAGATGTAGCTTTAGATTTGCAGAAAAAACCTGACCGAACTGATCACTTTGAGAGAGAGAGGTCACTGTCAAGGGGATCATCAGTGGGAGAGTCATCGCAGCGCCGAGGATCAGAGGAAGAAAATAGATATCGACCAGAATTATCTCCAAGGATTTATAGAAGTGAATCTGTACCTGAAGGTGCATCACCACCAACCAAAAAAAGAAAAATGTCTGATGTTGATGTATCATCACAAGACAGGTCAATGTTTCTCCCACCAATTTTTTCACCTCGGGGACAAGGGGCAAATAAAGGGGATACAGGAATGAAAATATTAGAAGATATGAATAAACAAAAGACAAGCAATCTCCAACTTTTTGGTGGTGAGGTTCAGATTTGTGATGGCAATGAACGAAAAACAATGAGAATAGACCCTAGCCAGCCACCAAGCCCAGCTATTGATATCTGCATTCCCCCACAGCAATTAGGAGGTAACATACCTAAGGCAGAAGTGTCACTTCCTACTTCAGTTGTGGTAACAATTGCAAAGTCAGGCTTAAATTCAGGGGGCACAATGGTTCAAGTAGAGAGTCAGATAAGTACTTCCTCAACCAAAACAGTACCAAGTCTTGTAAGCTCCTCCATATCACGTGAACAGCCAAGTGTTCCAACACAGACTCAAAGTAACTCAAAAGCACCGCTTTCGACCATTGTATATAATGATGCTTCAAAGTTTGCTTTTTCTCCTTTTTTACCCTATGCGCCTCTTCTACAACTACCAAACCTGGCTATTCCAGGAATTCCCACACCTGATTTGGGTAGTTTATCTTTCCCAACCTACCCAGCTTCTGGCCCAGTACAGTCTTTTCTCCCAGTAAAAAATTCGGCAGCCCAGGGAATGATGGGGAAACATAAGGTCAACACCATTCATTCACCTGCAGCTCCATCCCCATCCAAGTTATCTCCAGGAGCAGGAATAGCTGCATCTGGACAGCTGCCATCTGGAAATATAGGAAATCCCCTTGGAAATCAGCAAATACAGGTTATTAGAGAGAAAGAGAAAGAGCAGTTTAAAGGCAGTAGCAAATCACCTGCTACATATCCTGCTCTCATACCAATAGGCGATGAAAAAGTACCTTATGTACCAGGGATTCCTGGACCATATTCCCAGGCAGGCATGGTAGTTCAGCCTCCACTGCACAGAATACAGAAGAATCCTGCTGTGTTTGCACCCCCAATAACTGCCTCATCCTTTAGTCCTATGTCGCAAGCTCCAGTAACCTTGCCACAACCTCCAGCCTTAATGAGCCCCTCCAGGGAGAAGGGTCTACAACCCCCAAGATCCAAAGACTTTCCTCGCAGTCCAGTTAGGGAACACCAGTCCTTTCATGCTGCAAAAGTCCCATCTAGACAGTCCCCACAGTTACCACCAAAAGAAATACAAATAAGCAGAGGGAAAGCATCAGTAAGTGTTTCCTTTAAATCCTCTGAACGAAATATGACTCCTGATGTCAGACTCCCAGGAGGATCAGAGACAAGTGCTTTTGATAAGAAGGTTGCAGAGAAATCCTCTGTGGCACTTGATGAATCAAGAAATGACACCGCAGGAAGAGATGAAACAAAGGATTGTGAGGAATTCTTGCCACCCAGAAAACGTCCAGACACACTGGCTTTAAAACCACAGCCTTATGTACCTAACTCCTCACTTGCTTTGATCGGCACAACTTTAGTAAGTCCGGATACCCCTCGCCCCAAGAAAAGCTGTGTGCAGATGTTTTTGAATGGATCAGCATATACTTATCTAGGGCACAAAGTTTCCACAAAGTCTTATTTTTGTTGCATATCTAGACAACAACCTATGTACGTACCTCAGTCCACTGATCCTAAGCTTTCCATGTATTCCAACTGGCAGTTACGTAAACCAGCAGAGGACAATCCTTTAAATCTTACACCATATCAGCACATGAGCTTATACAACTCTCGAAAAGTTGACCAAACATACACTGTAGCCAAACCAAGAGAGCTAAATCTCATTCAGACACACTCTTCATACTGGACATTTAAGGAAGAGAAGGAAAAAAATAAATCTAAGGAGGAAAAACATAAAGACAAAGACCCAAAGGTAGTGAAGAATGAAGACCCAGTGACAAGGACAAGTGAACCAAGTTCCAGTGAAGACAACAGGCCAGCAATAAAAAGGGAACCAGAGGAGGAATGTGCTGAACCCTCCAGTAAGAATAGTGATGATGCCGAGACCTCAGACAGCAGCACAGTCAAGCGCATCAAAATATTTGAGGGAGGATTTAAAAGCTCTGAAGATTATACATATGTCAGAGGCCGCGGTCGAGGGAGATATGTATGTGGAGTATGTGAGATTCGTTGTAAAAAGCCTTCTATGTTAAAAAAGCATATCCGTACTCACACAGATCTTCGCCCTTATGCATGCAGCCACTGCACATTCAGGTAGGAAACTAAACTTATATTTGAAAAGAAAATCAGTTTGGAATGCATATGATTATTTACATAGATTTGAATATGTGAAAGTGAATGATTGGATAAAGTCAAGTTTTTTCTTTCACAGTTTTAAAACCAAGGGCAACCTGACCAAACATCTAAGGTCAAAGGCTCATTATAAACGGTGTATGGAGATGGGCATTGTTCCTGTTCCAACCGTGGTTGATGAGAGCCATGTCAACGAAGAGGCTTTGGCAATGCAGGTCAGTTTTAGAAATTTTTAAAATTTTGAAACATACCGATAACTTCAGTTTTGATACTCTGTTTACACCTTTGATAATGGTGCTCCTTTTCTGTTTTAGTATTTTAACCCCTTGGTAATGGGTCACTCTGTCTACTTTCCTTAGACAACCTATTCCCTCCCCCTCCCACCATATCCCTTTGCCTTAATTGTGTCTGTACCATGCTGCAGGGTGCATGGAAACTTTTCACATACCACTGCCTATAGTGTATTTTGCTTTTAGTTCAACATCCTTATAAAATAAATGTCCAAAGATGTGAGGTGGGAGAGAATGAGTTGCTCAAGGTCTTGTGTCTAGTTGTTAAGAAAAGTAGTCATTAGATACCTTCACTCTGCCCAGATATTTTGCAGATGTGATTAAAAGTTTAGCTAGTTACATAGTAAATTCAAGTTTCTGTCTATTGCAGGGTAAGATGGAGCAGGAACAAGAAAGAGTTTTAGAAGGTGGTGATGATGATGATGATGATGACGAAGAGGAGGAAGAGGATGAGGAAGATGATGGTGATGAAGATGACGAAGATGATGAGGAAGCATTAGAAAATGACCAATTTGAAGATGCGGATAAAATGGATATAGATGAGAATTGCACTAAGAGTGAAGCTGAGTTGAAGAGGGAGGTAAGAGAGAGTAAAGAAAACATGGGTTTGGTTGGAAATCCTTCAAGATCTGGAGTATTAGTCATGGCCATCTCATCTTGTTCAAGCTCTTCCAATCCAGCCTTTGCTCACAGCTCAAAAGATGTCAAGTCTCAGAAACTAACTGACAATGCTGAATCCCTTAGAGATTCTCCCATGGATCTGAGTGTGAGGAAGACAGCTGTGCTTAATCTCTCTCCGGCTCAGGATAAAAACTTAGCCATGAAGAAGCCTCCAGTCCCACGTAGACCAAGCTATCTCCCACTGATGGCCAAATCTTCCATGACTGACCTCAGATCTCCAGTGGCAAATCTGACATCACCTGGCACTCCTACAACTCCTATTAGAGAACACCCTTCTGAAATCTTATCACCAGTTACAGAATCATCAACTCTCCTGAAGAGTATATACAATACTACATCAAGAGCAACTCATGTATCAAACAGGGAGAAATTAGACATTGTAATTGATCCAAGTAAGGAAAATGGTTGCAACAATTCAATGCTACAAGCATACATAAAGGAGTGTGCAGTTTTGGACACAACCATCAAGAGACAGCAGTACAAAGATTCATCATCAGATACATCACCTGATTCACCTCACAACAGTCTAATTCCAAACCATTCTGGAACATCTGTATCGACTGCAGGGGCCGAAAATTCCAATGAACAACCCCAAAAGTCAGAAAGCATACAGAATGACAGAGGAACATCATTGGATGAGATAAAAAGAGAAGGAAGAACTGAAAATGAAAGCTTGGGAGTAAATTCTGAACAAAGTTGTACCTCAGAGGTATCCTCTTCAAGTTGTACAACAGCTGTTAACAGCACTCCCCAAGCAGCCACTTCACGTATGCCAACCCCTCCTGCCAATCTCACAGTCATGAACAATGGTGGAATGGACACCAAGACTGCTTTCCTTGTACCCAGTGGTGTTGTTCCTTCATCTCTGAACAGGTAAATGAATTTGTTCTAGTTTGAAAATTTCATGATTATGTTCAGGTGTTATTTTCTTTCGCAGTTATGTTACTTGGTACATTTAATAATTCTGAAATGTATGCCATAGTTGTGTCTTATTTTACATCAAATTTCAGATATTCTGACAATTCTCTCCTTTGGAATTTAAAATAATTTGAAAGAGTGTTGTACTACAGAATACATTTATGAACCACAAGCATTTCTTAAAAAGTGTAAATGGGGGATATACATTGTGTTCACTTATTTATGTTTTCTGTTTAGATGTGATTGATATTCTGAAAACTAGATTACTTACAGTGATAATAATTTTTATTGAGGATTATCATTTCCACTTCAGACTTGTAAACTGGATTTACAACAATGTAAATATGTATTGAAATTTGAAATTTTTGTATTACGAGGCCTTTAAAGTTCTTGTTTCCAAACAGACTAGGGAACGATGATGGTAAGTGCAGATGCAGCATATGCCACAAGGAATTTAACCGTCCGTCCCAGCTAACTCTTCATATGAACATTCATTATATGGAGCGGCCTTACCGTTGTGAGTCTTGTGCCATCTCGTTCAGAACCAATGGGCATCTTCAGAAGCATAAAAGATCTGTCAGTCATTTTAATAAGGTAAGTAAAAAGCAGAGCAAATTTTTCTGCTTTGTTTACTGGTCTTGATTGTGACTTATTTAAAATTGAAGTTCAATGGATATTATATAGTATGTTGTTTCCATCATTGTATGTATGAATGACATGTACAGAATATTGTATATTTACTATTAAAATCTTGGTTGTTGTCTGAGCACTTTATTTCATCAGTCAATGCTTTTGCAGGTAAACAGGAACATGACCTTTGGGACCCCAAGCACGGATAACCCACGACCTTTCAAGTGTCATGATTGCAAAATTGCATTCCGCATTCATGGTCATTTAGCTAAACACCTCCGCTCAAAGATGCACATTATGAAGCTAGAGTGTCTTGGAAAACTTCCTTTTGGCACTTATGCAGAAATAGAACGGTCTGGTGCTAATCTTAATGAAATAGACACCACAGACTGTGATAATTCTTTGGAGAGTTTACAGGTTTGTATGGATTAGAGCTTTTGTTTCTAAGGTAATAAATAGGGTTTTCAGATCAGTTATGCAAGAACTTGTATTTACAGTATGAATTTCCTGCTGTCTTTCATCTTTTAAGTCTCTTTCTAACTCTACTTCCTCATCTTTGTCTTTATCCTCTTTTTCCCCTCATGTTCTGCTACCTATATCTTCTCTTGTGTGTGTCTCCCATTTTTATTCCAGCTGCACATTGATTTCTTACAGGTTCTTGCATAGCCTTCAAAATTCAGAAATGTACAAATTAAGTTATCAGGTTTCTTAAAATATAGAGGGAAGTAGCTGTATTTTCATTTCTCCTTGAACCAGGTTATGGCATCACGACTCTATGAGAAAGACCCAAGTAAACTGGCTGCGTGGCAGAACCAACAGCAACACCGTGTCCGCACTGTCAGCAACTCCTCCACTAACTCTGATGATTATCCTTTGCAAGATGATCAGGATGATTCTTTTGCTGGGTGTGGTAATGATGATGATACAGGTAAATTTCATATAGATATGTTATACTTATGCTGTAGACATTATTTCAATATTTTGATTAATAGTTATGTATATATAAAGGGATTAATAAAATCTTATATTTTATATAAAACAGTCTTCTTCTTCAAAAAACTTCTTTGTAACCCTGTTTAGTTATTAAATTTATATTATTACATTCATAACCACATGGCCCATTGTAGTACAACATTTAGTAAGTTTATACCTCTATCTTTTATGGCATAATGTTTTTTTCTTCTTTTAACCTATTTTATCACTTGATATATAATTCTTTTATTGTATTTGATTTGATATATATTACAGAGTGACTTTGACTTTAGTGATACCAATAAACCATCAAAACTCATTAGATTTGAAATCAATAATCGGGAATTATTGAGTTGATCTTTTGGAGATAATTTTTGTCTTGAATCCATGATACTGACACAGAATGAAATACACATTTCATAGACAGCATTACAGTACTTGACAATAAAGAAAAAACACTCTAAGAGTAACATTAAATTTTGTAGACAGGGTACTGGATAATTGCACTACCATCTTCCACATCACTATCCCTGTCCCTACTATCACTTTCCTGTCACTACGACAGCCTCTCTTTGTCCTTAAGGCTTCTTTGCATCTTAATCTGGGTGTTGCATGTCTTGCTGCCTCTTGTTTGTTCTTCTATTTCCTGAGGAAGAGACCAGTGAGTTTGTTAGGCTTCGTGAACCTTAGTTTGATACTTTTCACTGATAACCCTTTCAAGAAGGAACAGTGTTCATTGCAACAAATGTAGAAAAGGTATAACTGAGAACAAAGATCTTCACATTGCAAGAAATGTATCTAATTGGTTTGTAATTACATTTTTGGCAGAAATACATGTATTTTTGATGAAAAAATGTTACTTTCCAACCTCTGGAAAGTAACTGGTACCTCATGTTTTGCATCAAAATATTGATGATTGCAAAGGTCTGCAACAAATGCCTCCTGGGAAAAGGATATCATAAGTGAATTAAATTTTATGAAGCATTGACACATAGTTGCTAATCCTTTGCTAATGTATGATAACAGTGTGGTTTCCAGCCTGTCACTGAACATGAAATTGCTGATGTTGGGGCCCACTGTACTTAATTATTCATTCTTTGTGTTTAGCTGTTTTATTTTTTTATTCCATGTGGTGATCCACTGACCTTTACATCACCAGCTATATGTAGGAGTAACATGATATATATATGTATATATATATATTATAATATATATATATATATATATAATATATATATATTATATATATATATATATATATATATTATATATATATTTGTTTTTATATTTCATTCAGGTAATAACTTTGATTTATGATATACAAAAATCATTTTCAGGGTGTTACAGAATCTGTCAGTGTTATGCCACAATAGAATACTTTAACAATACAGTTTATGTATGTAGACCTAAGGCACATGTGATAGTTAATATCATCATTTAAGGCTGTCATTTACGTCTTTCACCAACAGAGGGTGATGAGGATGAAGAGATAAGCATGCCTCAGGATGCTCCGAGACTTGGTGTCCCAGGATCCAGTGTAGGACCAATTCCTACTGAGTTACACAGTCCTCACTCCCATGGGATACCGCCCATTGAAATAGGATCTGTAAGTGTTTGTATTTGGTTACAGATATACATATTTTTTTGTTGAAGCAGTGTACTATACTTCATGTTGTGTTTTTGATTTATGTTTGAGAAAAACTTGAGGAAAGATGTTTTCAAGATTGGAATAAGCTTGAGTAATGAGAGATTGTGAAATGTTGTAAAAGTGCATTCATGCATAAAAAAAGGGTATGAAAGAATGAATGAAGTGAAATTAGAGACAACTATAAAACATGAATGTTCTGCACTTATACAAACAGATAGCAATTTCTTTTTTAAGACTAACAAATATGGATATGATATGACTTGAATCCTGGTGTGATTATCTATATTATATGGTATATATTCATCTTATCATCATTATTGGTATCATAGTCATTTATTATTTTTTTATCTTTATTATTATGTGTGTGGTTATAAAGAATAACACCTGTTATTGATGTGTTATTTTTATCTTACTGAACTATAGACTGCTTGTAACCTTAATAACCCAGGGTCAGCTGTTTTTATCTCGGAAATCTCTCAGATAAGCATAATTTTAGGAAATATTCACAAGAGTAGGAAGATATCTAAGTTGTGCTGCTTATAGTGGTTGAAATTTTGGCTTGAAATAGAAAAACTCTTCTGCCTCAGATAAAAACAGTGCAAAAGCTGAGCCTGAGCATTGTCCTTTAGCATCCCTTCCCTCTCCTCAGGGTGCTACTGCTGGCCTTCTGGCCTGTCATATCTGCCATGAGAAGTTCCTTGACCTGGAGCATCTTAGTGGCCACCTTTACAATGTCCACAAGGTGTCCGTCACTTACCGGTATGTAGCATGGGATTTATTTTAACTCTTGTGGCTTATCTTTTTTTACTCAGTGAAGTTATTTCAGAAAATTTATTGTGTAAGAGCTTAGTAAGTTCTTTTCTGAACAGGCATGAACCAGGAGTACAGAGAACAGATAATTATAAACTTAAATTTTCATTTACAGCAACAGCTAGCCCCTATCCTATTAAGGCCGCACACATGTGGACTTTGCGAAGCCAAGTTTCCAAGTCACAGTCAGCTGCTGAGCCACAACCAGCGTCACCATGTGGCAAGCAATGGGCCGGATGTAAAGTCAT